CAAACCAAAAATCTATGAACAATTAAAAGTAATACCATATAAATAATTAAAATTAATTAATTAAAAGTCAGACTGTAAAACAAACCCTATACATAAATACTAAAAACATTCAAGATGATGGGGGAGTAACATCAATTACCCCACAAGCCACTTCCACTGGTGTGAGGCCCCAGGTCATCTGGCATAGCCAGGATTTCACACCTTTCCTGAAGGCCATGAGAGTGGGGGCAAACCACACCTCAGGAGATAGGTTGTTCCACAGAGTGGGGGCCACGGCAGAAAAGGCCCTCTTCCTAGATCCCACCAGTCCAAATTCCTTGACTGGTGGGGTCTGCAACATGCCCCTTCTGCTGGACCGAGTGGAGCGGGCTGATGTAACGGGCGAGATGGCTCCTCAGATAACCTGGTCCTGTGCCAGGAAGGCTTTAAAGGTAATAACCAACACCTTGAATTGGACCCGGAAGCAAACTGGCAAACAATGCAGCTCGCGTAACAGCGATGTTATATGTGCCCCCCAGGGGCATTCAGAACTGTCCACGCCATCGCATTCTACACCAGCTGTAGCTTCCAGATACTCTTCAAGGGTAGCCCCATGTAGAGCACATTGCAGTAATCCAACTGGGAGGTGACCAGGGCATGAGTGACCGTGCAGAGGGCCTCCCAATTGAGGAAGGGGCATAACTGACACACAACACGAAGTTGCATAAAGGCCCTCCTAACCACAACTGCCACCTGCTCTTCGAACAGGAGTCGTGAGTCCAGGAGGACCCCCAGATTACACACCGGGTCTGTCTGGGGTCGTGGGACCCCATCAAGAAGAAGACCACTAGATGGTAGCAAAGAGATACAGAAAACTATTTTTGCCCTCTCACCTGCTCTTCGAACAGGAGTCGTGAGTCCAGGAGGACCCCCAGATTACACACCGGGTCTGTCTGGGGTAGTGGGACCCCATCAAGAACCAAAGATGATAAACTCCTAGATCTTGAGGCTGCCCATACCCACAGCCACTCCATCTTACTAGGGTTCAGTTGAAGCCTGTAATAATAATAGCAGTCTAATAATACCAGTCTAAATCTCTCTTCTCCTTCCCCTTGGCTGCTGGGTAGTTCCATTTTCATAAAACAACAGAAAACTATACACACACACACACACACACACACACTAGATCGGAAAATATAATTGGGCTGTTAAACTAGGCCAGGATCTTTCTCTATTCCAGAAATGACAGTGGTGCTGCCTTCTACCTCAGTTCTGCCCCTACTAGTGCTACCAGATCTGGGCACTAGTCAACTGAAATCCTGGGAGGAGGAAAGGGACAAACTCTAAATGCTAAATGGAAAGCACTGGGATGTTTACTGAGTTCTCTGGGCCTCAGCACAAACCTGTCAGATGGTTAGCAAATTGGCCATGATGCTTTCAAGTAGCAAAAGTAAAGGCTTCCTTGAGTTGAGCTCAACTCCTGGTGATTACATGAACACATCCATCTGTAGGGTTTTTGTGTGTGGGTGGATTGGCAACAATATGGAAGTGGTTTGCCATTGCCTACTTTCAGGATGTTTTTTTCCTTTTTTTCTTGCACACACACACAGATCTGGCCTGCAAAACCCCATATATCCACTAGAGGGCAAAAATAGTTTTCTGTATCTCTTTGCTACCATCTAGTGGTCTTCATAGTAAGCATTCATCCTCCCTGTTTTGTCAGTTTTCTTACCTTTGTCCACCTATGGACACCAATGGCTCTACTGGTGCCTTGAACTACAGCTCCCATCCTGCCTGAGAGGGAATTATGGTAATTTTAGTCTAAATATTCCCAGACTGCAACCAACATATGAGTTTGTACAAAAGACTGATTTCAATTTTTTTCTTCTTGTAGCCATGCTTACTGATACACACAAGACCAAATTTGTGGGGAGGGGGGAAGGACATCCTTTCACAAGCTGACTTGCATATTTAACTGAAGAACTAAAATCTGGCAATGCATAAGGAATTGCGTATGTATGTATGTATGTATGTATGTATGTATGTATAATTTTATTAAGAATTTTGATTATAATAGTAAAATCTAATACAAACTAAAAGAAAGAAAAGAATAGAAAGAAGGAGTAAAAATGCAAGGAAAAAAGGAAAAAAGAAAGAGAAAAGTAAGAATATAATAAAGGAGAAAAGAAATATATAAAGAGGTGATTTCCAACCTTCATCACAAGTATAAACAAATTCAGTGACTCTTCATCCCCTCTAAGGTTACAAACGTTTATCTTTTCATCCCATATCCCATCTCTTATCTATAAACAAATCCTTATCAATGTATAAGGAATTCCTAATCTGATGACACTTAGTGTTAGCATGCCATTTTATTATAGGATTCTCTTCATCTCTGTTTATATTTAGAAACAGAAAAACAGATCTTGAAAGGGAATGAAATATAAAGAAAATTGCATCAGTATTCACAGCTGTTCCATATACTGTAGTTATTTAGAAGAAAGACAACCCTGAATTTAAGAAACCCCCTGCTTCCCACAAAGAAAGATTAGTTAGGGAAAAAACCCCTCTGTTATATTCCCAGAAAATTTAAAAGAACTCTTCCAATTTAAAGATAAATGCTTTGAAGTGAGGAAAATCTAGTCTTCCATTTAGATAAATAAAGTATGAATGTACTTAACTCATTATTTCCCTTCACAGACAATTGAAACCAATGCCTTTTTCATGTGAATAAAATTTATAATAAAGTATTTTACTCTCATTGCATTAGACAGATTATTAGGTGAAGAAGAAGAAAAAGCCATACATTCCCCATAGACGGGAACTAAATGTTTATTCAAGAGAGATGGAAGAATTAATATCCACATTCATTTAAAATGCCAGCATGGATTGTTTTATAATTTGACACTGTTTTGCACAATCACTGTCATTTTGAAGCACGCTTCTCTTGTGTTTTTACATTTTTGCTTGCATGTTATAGTTTGAAAGGTGAGTAATACATCACTTCATACCACAAACAGAAGTTGAACTTGGTCGGATGAGGATGCCAAGACAGTGTTACATGCATGTTGCTCCCTTGATGGGTTGGCTGATTCAGCCCAAGTTTTCCCTTCATGATTGCTCACAATCTTTGCAAAAACTTAGCTCATCTTTCTTTGCCGTAAAATATGCTTTCCTTTTCTACATTGCATTCATCCTGTTTACAGGCTAGAAGGGATTCTGATTATGCTCATAGAACATCATCAATCACAAAATCTACACAAGCAAAAGGAACCTGCCACCCGATGCCTTTTTGAACTCCTTCTGTATCACCCAGGAATTATATCTTATTGGAAGCCATCCTATAGAGACATTTAGAAAACTGAAATGCATTCAGTGCCTCCTGCACTCCCTCTTCCCTTTCTCTCTATTGGCTGATCACTAAACTGAAGGGGTGGGGAGGATCTGCCTCTAACTACCTTTCTAACCCCAACTCCGTATAAGAAGCAGCAGCAAGCAGGCAGGCGTTCATAGGCAGCCGGGTAGTATTTGTGATCTGAAATGATTGTTTTAAAAAGCCTAGCGGCGGCGGCAACAACATCTCATCCGTGATGCTTTAGTTTTACAGATTGAAACTCCAGGAGATAAGAGAAGAACGCCACTTTCAGCTGCCTCATCCCAGTGAGTTACAGGCACTTGTGGAGTTGGCAAAGTAAGCATTAATTGCCAGAGGCCCCCTGGTTCCTTGCATATCGAACCTGTTTATTTTCTGACGGGCACCCTGCCGCTCTTTGGAATGGCACGTCACCTGCTGCATCTACAAAGCCCTAGCCAGTGAAAATCCCAGGGAACCATTCAAAAAGAGACTTCTGGGACCAGTGGAATTAATTAGCAAGCTGCAAACTGGCCAAGCATGATGTGCTTTTGGGTGAATGCACTGTAAGATGAATTTCACTTACCACTATGGAGTTCACCGGCCTCTTCATGCATGGAACCACAGCTATGGACTACATCACAGTGAGCTGAATAGATCGGTGGGAAAAGGCTACTCTTCAGAAGGGTGTTACGAGCAACTTTTTGTCTCTCCAGAAGTATTTGTCACCTTAGGCTTTGTCAGCTTGCTAGAGAATGTGCTGGTGATCGCAGCCATAGCCAAGAACAAGAATTTGCATTCCCCAATGTACTTTTTCATTTGCAGCTTAGCAGTGGCCGACTTGCTGGTGAGCATCTCCAATGGATCGGAAACCATCGTCATCACCCTGTTGAATAATACGGAGGCTGATGCACACAGTTTCACCGTTAGCATTGACAATATCATTGACTCGGTGATTTGCAGCTCTCTCCTGGCCTCCATTTGCAGCCTGCTTTCTATAGCCGTGGACAGGTATTTCACAATCTTCTATGCCCTCCAGTATCACAACATCATGACAGGGAGGCGCGTCGGTATAATCATCACCTGTATCTGGGCAGCTTGCACAGTTTCGGGTGTCCTGTTTATTATTTATTCCGACAGCAGTGTTGTCATCATTTGCCTCATCGCCATGTTCTTCACCATGTTAGTCCTCATGGCATCTCTCTACGTCCACATGTTCATGCTGGCCCGGCTGCACATGAAAAAGATTGCAATTCTTCCCGGCACCGGCCCAATTCGTCAAGGTGCCAATATGAAGGGAGCCATCACTCTGACCATCTTGATTGGAGTCTTTGTGGTGTGCTGGGCCCCACTCTTCCTCCACTTGCTTTTCTACATTTCATGCCCTCATAATCCCTACTGCATCTGTTTCATGTCCCATTTTCACTTGTACCTCATCCTAATTATGTGTAACTCCATTATCGACCCACTTATTTATGCATTCCGAAGCCAAGAGCTGAGAAAAACCTTCAGAGAGATTATGTGCTGCTGTAGCCTGAAAGAGTTATGTGATTTCTCAGGCAAATACTGAATGCATATGAAGAAGCTACCGCAGAAAGCCGTCTGCCTCATAGACCGATGTCTCCTCTAGTGCTGCTGAGCATCTGGCTACATCAGTCACAAGGAATATATTTTGAACTGCACCTGGTACCTGAATGGTTGTTTCTGTACTAAGCTTACAAACTATAAATGTAATCATTTCAAGGTTAAAGTGAAGTTAGTGGTGGTTAGCAACAACCCAGCAGGCTGTCAGGCATGGAAAGTGCCCACGTATTTTCAGAATGGTGAGAGAGCAATGAAACTGTGCTTAGGAACAGGAAGAAGTGTATTACACAAAACGAAGTCCTATGCTTTCCTCAGCTATTTATATTCAAAATTTGCACGGTCTTGCATGTGTATGGTTAAGTCAAATGAGAGTTTATTAGAAAGTTGTGTTTTATGTCACATTTGTTCAAATGATTGCTAAAGAATCGCATCGTGCGTCTTGATCTCAAGGCAACAGCCCCAATCAAGACAAAATGTCACTCAGCTGGAGTCAATTACTGTGGCTGATCTGCTCTGGGAAATTGGGAACTGTACTTTGAAAGGTTGCTTTTTGAATATGACAGTAAGATATATATTTGGTATGTGTGCATTTTACTTACTCAGTTGAAACAATTTTCTACTAAGTTGTCTAGTTAACATGCAGCTAAACATGCATAATTCAATACACAAAGTAAGTTGCCCTGAAAATGTACAAGAGAAAAGTCTGTTAGGGCAAAAAGAGAGAGAGAGAGAGAGAGAGCTGAGGCAAGGATAGCCTTATTCCTTATCCTTTACTGAAAGGAAGCATGAAAAGTGCAAGACCGCTGTTTAAAAACCACGTGAAAACAAATGCACCAGAGAAAGGCAACAATAAAAGTACTCTGTTTTAAACACCAACCAAATGGGGTACAAACTAAATATTTAGCATTGATTTCAGAGCACAGACTATTTAACCTTTAATTCACTTTTGATGCAGCTCGGTAGATATGACCTTATCGTCAATTTGAGTGAGACAACCACTTCTGAAAAGCAGTTTGAGTTGTTCTTATACAATTGTTATTATTATTGGTAGTAGTAGCAGTAGTATATGTATTTTTTCCCCCTCAGAGGGGGAGAAGTACTACTTTTTTTGCCTCAAGGATGTGTAGGGGGAAAAAACGCAAGTGAAATCCTCATTGTTGAGGTGCTAAGTTCTTGTACTTACCTTAGCATCCAAGAGGTATGGATGAATATCCAGTCTTTCAGCATACAATCATCTCTCCACCAGTCTCTACCCATCCTTGATGCTTATGCTTCAGTTAAATCCAAGACCACCTTAACATCAGAATATCTTGCCTGAAACACATTGGTAGTGCTGCCTCAGCTGACCAAAGGTCTGAATTCTCACCAGGATTTTGGAAAGTTATCAGATAAATTATCCTTCCCCACCCGACCCCAATGGCCTTCATTTTTAAGACTTTAAGACTCAAAGCAGTAGTAACCAGATAAAGTAACAAACTGCAAAGAACAGTCGTACATGCAAGGGAAATAACAAAGCCATACTTCTATGTATCAATACCATTTAAGAGAATTAACCATTGTGCAGAAGTCATACAGAAATCAGGTCCTTTCAAGTACATTGATGTCAGCTTGATAAAGCACTGTATATTGTTTAAATAACAGCACAAAAGCTATCAATAAATACATTTGGCTGTGTTTGTCCATCAGCTGCGCAGTCTTATTGAGTCAATTCCTTTTCAATCAAAGCTAAAATCCATTTCTTTGTATACTACTGAGCAAGAGTAAAAACATCATTATTCACCATTTAAGAGCAATTCTTCAATGTGCTGCAATCATCCTGCTGCCACTATATCAAAATAATAAGAGGCCACCCACAAGTCACTAATAGAGCAGTCCTCAGGGGTGAGAAAAGGAGGAGCTGAGGTGGAGGAACCACAGTTTCCAATCTTTTATTTATTTACACCAGCAGAACAAGAGGGATACAACTTTTATTTGGCCATATCACCCGATTCCCACCCATTATTCCAGTGAGAGGGAAATGAATTATAGGAAAGCATCAGGCATGTAGCAGGAATTTGTATCCCTACGTAGCGCCCATGGAATATCTTCTTTTTGTGCTTTTCCAAAATGTCAGCTGAGCATTCTCCTGTAGTTTGGGAGTTGAGTACCCTGCACCAAAGCAAACCTGTCATGAGTTCAGAGGGGAAAAGCTGAAAAACCATACAAAAGAGGCCATCCTTACAAAGTTATTGAGAAAACTTCCATGCCTGGGAAATACGACACTTTGAGGTACCTGAACCCAGAAGCCTATTCAGTTAAAGCATTTATAGACCTTTTTTTTAGTTTTTTGTTGCAGAATTACAAACATCTCTATGAACAATTTGTCATATCAGGAACATTGAGGATTCTGCACATGCTCACACCTCATACCTATGCTGTGTCACCATGACATGATACATAAACGTGATTGTGGTCTGAAAAAACATAACAGCCCCATATTCTTCAGTTTCTGGGAATACTGATGGTTAGATTTTGTGTTTTTACTTATCTCTACATCTGATAGAGCCTTCATACTCAAAGCAGCAAAATGCCGTTTTAATTGGGCATAAGTATTGATGCAAATGGTTTTTATAAAGCAAGCATTACAGTATTTTCGTATGTCTCATCACAAGAGAATAGAAAATGGGTGGACATTACAGGGATGATCATATTTAACCTTTACAAAGTATATTAAATGTACAAGACTGTAGAACAGTATATGGAAATATATTATTACGACTGTGAATGCCTTTGCAATGTTTATTTTACATTGATGAAAAGTGAAATCAGTTAATACATGAATAAAATTACCTTCCCACCCCAAACCCAGATCCAAGGAGTTTTTAAAGTTGTGCTTTTGATGTCATGAGGGAACAGCCAAGTTTTCAGTATCATGAAATTATTACATATCCCTATGATAATTGAAGGCATGTCAGATGGTTTCAGAATGTATTTCCCAGTCTCTTCAGAATAAGACTGAGTGCTAGCATGGATGGAAAACTGGTGTGCAATCACTTCAAATCACCCATTTCTCTTACTAAACATTAACAGAAAAGAAGGTGCAATTTGACCTTTGCAGGTCATCTCAGCAATCAGTACCAAGTCTTGTTCTGCTGTTAGAAGCTTGATAGTTTTATTAACAGCATGAGTTTAGGTAACCATCTGACCCATCCCGGTTTATAAAACGATCTGTGTTTTAATTTAGATGGTATGTGGGGGAGGGGGCAGAGAGCAATTAAATTGTTATTTTTTCTTTCTCATTAGGATACTTACAGGGTTTGTGCATTCATCTTTGATACGAGTGTCTGCTGGGATGTCTTTTAGTAAATCTTACTGAAGAAGCCACCCAAAGGTTTTAAAGTTATTCATTCATACATATTAATTCTCACTGTAATAGGGGTGGCAAGCTATGACCTATGATAGTAAAGTAGCCACATCTTCTTTCATTTTGTCACTTTTGGAACTTTCTGAGATTATGACATCAACATTTGACAGGAAGTTGTGCTTTTGATGTCATGATGTCACTTAAAAAGTGCAGCGATTTCTTGAAGACTTTTGACAAGAAACTAAGCAAAATGAATATTAAGATTAGGACAGAAATACACTGAAACTCCCAATCCTGCCCAGGGTGGTTTGGCCTTCAATTGCTTTTTTCTTATCTTTTCTTTTTTTAAGAAACAAAGGGCATCTATCGGCAACTGAACAGTATCCATCACTGCATAAAATATACAGAAAATAGCAATGAGTTAGTAAGAGTTTAAGCATCGTCATAGTGATATGGGCAGTAGATTTTACTTCCATATGGTATGGATTATATTACGAATTAAAATGCCATTTGTTGGCATATCTGTTACAATATATAAGAATAGGCTATAAACAGTTTTTCAACCATCTGAGGCTATCCAAATGGTATATACAGTCTACCTTCCCATATTCCCTTGCAAATTAGCCCTAATATCTAAATTGGCATTACAAAACTGTCTTAAGGGGGATCATTGGCTCAGTATTGTCTGCAGGGGATGACAGAAACTCTCATCAGTTTCAGATTAGACCTTCCCCAAAGCAGCTATAGATTCTGAGGGTCAAACTTTGGAATTTTTGCATGGAATAATGTTATTCTATTGGTGAGCTACAAGCTAGTGTGCCCACTTTCATTCAAATCATACTTGTTTTCCTCATCCTCTAAGAAAGCTTACAAAGGTTTTCAGTAAAGCAGAGCAGGCTAACCAGCCTTCAGTATATCATTATAACCAGTAATGCAGTGTTTCTTAAGCTGTATGATCCAATTGTTTGTTTTCCTGGTCTTGAATAACCCCACTCCACCCACACAAAAAAAGAATTATTCTTTTACACAAGTGTCCCAGCAGCAGCAGACCCAAACTGGATCTTGAACTCATGAACAAGCAATTACAAATTGCTCCATTACCCTCAGTTTAAAAACCACTGGACTAGCATGTGAAGGTGGGAGCTGGGAAGGTGGGAAGCAAGAAGCCAGGTCCAGACATGTTAGATAAATATAGTGCAGGTTCTGTCAACAGCTAAACCTAAGAAATGGGCTGCAAAAAGGAGATGATATCAAAAGGGAAAGAAAAATAAATGCAGGATTTACACCTTGGCATTTACATGTATTTATATAGCTAAATTCTTAGATCCTGTAGAAGCTGATCTCCATCATTAGTAACACAAGTTTCTTCTTCTGTAAAGCTACTTATCAATCCAAGTTATTTTATTTATTTATTTGTTTGTTTATCAAATTTGACACTGTCTATCTTGTTGAAACAACTCTGAGTGGTTTACAGTGAAGATAAAATTCATTAAAATACAATATAAAACAGACCTAATAAATAGTTTCCAAGCAAGATGGAAAGTTGGCGAATAATTCAAGGGAGAGTTGTCAGGGGGCTAATCACCCCCAAGGATGGTTAGAGCCTATATCGCCCCATGCAGATTGGCAGAGCCAGGTCTTGAAAGCTGGGAGGGTAGGAGTCCACCACACTTCTGGGGAGAGAATATTCCAAAGGGCGGGGGCAATGGCAGAGAAGGCTCTCCTCCTGCGCCCCGCCAGCCAACATTCTGTCGCTGACAGCGTCCACAACATGTCCTCTCTGCCTAACCAGGTGGGAGGGTAGATGTAATAGGGATGAGACGGTCCCTCAGGTAACCTGGACCCATGCCCTGTAGGGCTATAAAGGTGATAGCCAATACCTTGAATTGAGCCTGGAAGCAAACTGGCACCCAAAGCAGCTCCTGCAGCAAAGGTGTTAATGTGCCATCCAAGGGGCACCTAATATCTGTGTGGCTGCATTTTGAACCAGCTGTAGCTTCTGGATACTCTTCAAGGGTAGCCCCATGTAGAGCACATTGCAATAGTCTGAGAGATGACCAGGGTGTAAGTGACTGACCAGAGAGCCTCCTGATCCAAGAAGGGGCGTAATGGGTGCACCACATGAAGGTGGGCGAAGGCCCTCCTGGCCACAACTGTTACCTGCTCCTCGAGCAGGAGTCATGAATCCAGGAGGACCTCCAGATTACACACTGGGTCTGTCTGGGTCAGTGCCACCGCATCCAAAACCAAAGATGGTAAATTCTCAGATACAGAGGGGCCTCCAATCCATAGACACTCTGTCTTACCAGGGTTCAGCTGAAGCCTGTTGTTCCACATCCAGACCCCTTGACTTATGTCCTTGATTTCCCTATGAAAGCTCTTGTATGTGGGATGGAATCTCTAGCAGACATTAATCACAGTGGCCTGGGGGTGACCCTGAAGCAATGCATTGAAAAATTCTTCATTGAAAGAGCAGATGTTAGTCATTGATGTCTTATAAAATTATTCTTCATTAAGATGACTGTCAGTGTGATAGCTTGCTATATCTCCAGTTGCCTTCCTCTCTTTTCTACTGTTGACTCTAGTTTACTGGTGTATTTCCCAGCTGTAGGCAGGAAAGGTGTGCTACATTTGTAATCAATTTGAGCATTTGGAGATAGATCACTATGTCCACTGATGTCTGATTTAATAAAACTATTTTCACAATACAATACAAATACAATACAAATACTTTAATGACCAAGTATAAAATATATACAAGGAATTTGTCTTCGGTGGTGAACAGCAAGATCAACGGTGCATTTGGATAACAACAGAAAATTAATAAACAGTAACAATAACACTGCCCAGTAAAATAACTTTTCCAAAAGAAGAAGCCACTGTCGAGTACATATCAAATCATATAGTATTTAACAGAGCAATGGCACAAGGGAAAAAACTATTCCGATGTCCAGATGTTTTAACATATGGAGCTCTATAGCGCCGTCCTGAAGGATTATATCCAGGATGAAAAGAGTCTGCAGATATCCTCTCTGCCCTCCTTTTGACCCTCACAATATATAGTTATTCTATAGAAGGCAGGCGGGTTGCAGTTATCCTTTCTGAAGACTTAACTATCCGTTGGAGTCTGAGTCTGTCCTGTTTGGTTGCGGAATCAAACCAGACA